GAGACCGTTCTCCTTTTTTAGTATGCCGAAGAACTTGTGGCACCTATCGGAGGACTGCGAGATGAACCTTGATGGAGAGGTGATACGGCCGGTTAGCTTCTAGACTTATTCTTTTTTGGTCAAGTGCTCTGGTATACCCTCGATGGACTTGATTTGGTTCGGATTGACCTCGATACCCCGCTGCGACACAAGGAAACCCAAGAATTTTCCTGAGGCCATGCCGAATGCACACGTTTTGGGGTTCAATTTCATGTCGTATTACCTGAGTATGCCGAAGGCTTCTCTTAAATGGTCGATGTGATCTTCTTTCTTTTTGGACTTGACTAGCATGTCGTCGATGTATACCTCCATCATTTTTCTGAGTTGTTCTTTGAACATCTTCGTCACCAGCCTTTGGTAAGTTGCCCCCGCATTTTTCAATCTGAAAGGCATGACCCTGTAGCAGTACGTCCCTTGGTGGGTGATGAAGGTGGCATTTTCCTGGTCCTCTTCCTCTATAAGGATCTGGTTGTAGCCCGAGTAGGTATCCAAGAAACTCAGCAACTCATGCCCGGCTATCGCATCGATGAGTTTGTCAATATGGGATAGTGGAAACGAGTCCCTGGGGTACGCTTTGTTCAAGTCAGTGAAATCTATACACATTTTCCACTTGCCATTTTCTTTTTCACCATGACCACGTTGGCGACCTATTTGGAGTACTTCCACTCTCTGACAGAGCCATTTTCCAATAATTTTTCCACTTCTTCACGCATCGCGTCATTGATTGTGGAATTGAACTTACGTCGAACCTGCCTTACCAGGGGTAGAGTGGATCGACGTTCAATCTGTGTGTGGAGATATCCTTTGGGATACCTGGCATATCTGCATGGCTAAAAGCAAACAAGTCGCGTGAGCAATTAGAAATTTACGAAACTTTCACGGTTCTTAGAGTTTGCAGCCGATGTAAGCGTTCTTGCTATGGTCGTTAACATCTACCTAAATGGGTTTGAGGTCCTCTATGGTCTATCCAGCGGCCTCGGCTACATCAGGGTCTCTGATGACGTATTCGGTGTCGCCGCCTACCGACCTCGACCTTGTTGATTGTTATGCTTCCTTCTCTTTCTCTCTCATTTGTTGGGTGGTCGTACAGTCTAGGGCAATGCGGTAGCACTATTGGGATGTGCGTTGTTCCCCGCTTATACTGAATATGCCCCATGGAGTTGGGAATTTGATGACTTGGTAAAGCTGGAGGGTATGGCCCTCATGGTGTGTATCCACGGTTGCCCTATTATGGCGTTGTATGTCGTGTCCTGATCCATGATGTGGAATGTGGTCTCCAGAGTGATGCCACCCACCACGACGGGGAGTGTGATCTCGCCAGATGTTCGTTCAACTGCATTGTTAAATCCGGTTACTGTGATGCAGTGTGGTACTATCTTGTCCTCGAGTTTTATTTGTATGAGTACTCGGGGGTGGATAATGCACGCGTCACTCCCGTCGTCTACCATAATTTGTCTTACGTCAGTATCCAAAATTCATAAAGTAATAACAAGAGCGTCATAGTTAGGGAATGCCAAACCGTTGGTATCTGACTTATCGAAGATGATACTTTGTTCGAGTTCATTATACTGTTCATGGGTGATCGACCATTTGAATTGTGGGTCGTGGTGAACTTCACGTTGTGGATGAAAGCATCGTCTCCTTCGCCGATGATCATGTGGATAGTGCTGGCTGGCGAGGGCGGCTTCGGCGGCCCTTGGTGTTGTTCGTGTCCCATGGCAAAGTTGGTTCTTCCCCGATCGCTCAGCAATTCTTTGAGGTGTACCTATAATATGTTTACGACCTCCTATCTTAGGGCAATGCAATCCTCGGTTTTGTGTCCTCGCTCTTGATGGAACTCGCAGAGGGCGTTTGATTTTCTGGTATTCGGGACTGACCTCATTTTTTGTGGCCACTTTACCTTTGGTTCGGGCTTCTCCAAGGCATAGACGATCTCTGTAGGTGACACGCAAAAATTGTGAGCGGATAATAAAGGGGTCATACCTCTTTCATTCCGGTGAGTCCCTGTTCTTGATCGGGGTGGGCCTTCTTCATTGCGAGGTGAGGATACAGCAGTAGTTCTAACATATGGGAGATGTTGTTCCCCGCCGAGAAGTCGCCGGATCTCTTCTGATATCGCTTCTCCGATCTTTTCTGGATTTTTCTTGTACTGAGATAAGACGATGAGTCGGCCCATTGAGGTCATCTTCGTATGCTCGTACTTCGGCATAGTATGTATTATTTATTTCGTCCCAAGTTGTTGGGGGATATTTCATAAGCCAACTTAATAATTTTCTCGTCGCTCTTGAACTATTTTTGTTCAGCCCATTTTGAAAAGCGGCTACCGCCATTCCTTCTGATACATTGGGCAAAGTCATTCTCACTCGGTTGAAACGGGCGAGGAAGTCCATCAATCCTTCTCCTGGGGACTGTTTGATAGCAAAGGTATCATTCACTCTTTCCTTGGCCTTCTTGGCCCCGACATGGGCCGTCACGAACTTATCAGCCATTTCCTCGAAGGTTTCGTTGGGATGAGCTGGTAGTTGCGAGTACTAGCTTAGTGCCCCTCTCGTGAGGGCTTCGCCGAATTTCTTCAGTAGAATGGAGGATACTTGTTCTTTTATGAGGTCGTTGTCTTTCACAACGGTGATGTAGTGAGTCACATAATCATCGGGGTCGTTCGTGTCGTCATATATTTTCAGGTAAGGTGACATTTTGAAAGTTTTCGGTATGGAATGTGGGGCAGCACTATCACTGTACGACTGCTCGATGAACCGACAGGCATCTCTATTCGGCAATAACTTAGGAGAGTCCGGTATTTTATCGATCCTTTCTTGGTGCTCTCTCATTTGGTCCCGAAGTGCCTTGTTCTTATTTTTTATTTCCTCCATCCTTTTCAGAATGGTTATGAGAGCGTCATCGCCTGCATTATTAACAACATTGTGAGTGATACATGTCGTCGCAGGTGGGGGGGAGGTTGATCATGTTGCTCGTTCACTTGTGGTGTAGAACAGGTTCTCACATTTGTTGCGGCCGCGTCCTGAACGGGTTTATGGAGGACGTTGGTCAGTGTATTAGTAAGCCAGGCCTCAAGAAGTTTCTTTATCGCTGGCGGTGTCTCCTATCCCACGTTTGTGGAGGCTGTCTTGCCAAGTGATTTTGTGATGCTGCAGTGGGGAGGGGGTGATACGCCTCACCTAGGGGAGGCGTTGGGCGTTGTGTCCTCGTCCACTGCTTCAGAGCTTGCATAGATGATGTCCATGAGGTTGGTTGGGAGCTCACTCATTATTCGCATTCTTTCTTTTATGTTACCTGCCACGTTAGACCCATGCATGCAGAGAGAAAAAAAGGTTCTTCTTTTCGTTTTCCCTTTTTTTTACGTCAGCAACCAGTACAGTAGATCTAGGAGAAACTAAAAGACTTAGTCAGAAATTCCCCACAGACTGCGTCAAATTGTTCGACCAAAAAATATAATCTCCGATTAAACTATTAAATTTACGTAGTACGGGGCTAAATCTAACTAAGGATAATAACTCTAGGTATTATCCACAAAAACGTGTAGTAGATGGGACAAATTCCATATATGGTTAATGACAATAAATGTAAAATACTCTTAAAAGCAAGAACATTTAGGGTGATATAAATGTCAATAAATGACATTTAAGTAAATAAAGAAAATGATTCACCCAATAATGAATGGGTGGGACGAATATTTTGCGTGACAATGATGAATGACAGATAGATCCAAGATTCGCATGAACAATCTTCGGATCTGATGGAAATGTGGGGTATAATATATCGATAAGAATATTTGTAAAAAGGTAATCTTTGTATTTTAGTAAGTGAGAGGGTCTTCGTCCCAAAAGTGCTCTTATCAAAATCAATTTTATATGCCCCTATTATTGTCCCCTCTTTCTATATATATGGGGCCTTTTTCCTAAAAAATTCTAATAGTACAAATGCATGGAATATTCACTAGAATATTCACTTTTAATATTCTATCTTGACAAATTAGTCGTTACAAGTCTTATCATCACTAGTCGATCTCGACCTTGACCCTTGCTGACAACTTGATTACGATAACTGTCGATATCTTGACCACGGCTCATGTCGGCACCTTGGCCATTGACCTCGCAACGTCTTGGGCGAGCTCGACCGATAATTTTCTTTAATGCCATATTACGCTAAATATTCTTAAGGCGGATTTTGGCCTATAAAAAGACAAGATTTTTCCCGGGTATTTTGACTAAGAAATAGGATTAGAACTTAGATTAAGTTAGGGGGAGGATGAGGACTATGAATCTCTAGAGTCACTTCAGTACATAATACAAGATGCAACAAGAATGCGAAGAGGATGATTGCGGGGAAATAAAACAAAGAAAATGACTGCAACCCTAGAAGTATGTAACGTTAGTTATTATATAATTCAACTAGTATCTCTTTAAATTTTATTCTTTTATTAAAAAGTTTATTTAATTAATTACATTTGGTGTAAATATCAGGTGCGAGTAAAGTTTTGCCCATAATAAACTGCAAGTAAATTTAACCGCATTTAAAATGATCCTTAATAAACTAAAGTTAATGGTTGATGATAAGGGTTTTATCTTGTCCAATACAATTTAAACGGTTAGACCTAAGGGGAAAAAAGTCTGCAAACACTACGGAATCTATTCTCACTGTTGATCAACCTGTGGATCAATGTAGTAAGTACATACTATTACCTTGTCATTTTTATTAGAAGGTGTTTACAGCTTTTCTTCTCATTATTGAAAGTCCTCCTAATCTTTAAAGTCAATTAGGAAGGTAAGATAAATATAATGAAGCAAATGGCATTTAAATAATTAGGACGTGAATGAATCATTTCATAAAAAAAAGAACGATAAGACCACCGACCCATAGGTAACGTTATAACCATGCAATGGTTCCATATTACTCTTTTTTATGAATAAAAACTATATTCAGAAGTCTCTTTTTTTCCTTTTCTTTTGCGTGGAGGGTGGATAGAATATGTAGGGTGGACGAGGTCAATTTTCTGCAACAACATTGGCATGCTTAGGTAATCATAGAAACTCAAAAAAATGTACGAAGTTCTTTGTCCTTGTAGCTAATTAGTAGCTAGCAACTAGCTATAAGTAAAGAGTTCCTACTTGTTTTAGCTATTCATTCTCATTTGTCTTTGCTTAGCAAGATAAGCAAAGAAAAAACTGGAACGTCTAGTTCTCTGCTTGCTTATATATCTCAGTAAAAAAATTGGAAAAGTCTTCGTTTTCAAAGAAAAAAACTGAGGTGAAGGAGAAATCGAAGTTGCAAAAACCATGGCAAATCATATGGGTGCAATAAGCAGCTATTTCAGTACCATAATCATGGTGGTTTTATATCTGGGTAGAATAGGTGCAACACACAACATCCATATCAGGGAATGCAAAAGGCCAGAAAGAGGAGTTGATCTCTTCATCTTTGGTAACTCCTACTATGATGTGGGAAACAACAATTACATCAATACTTTCACTCTTGACCAAGCCAATTTATGGCCCAACGGACAATCTTACTTCAAGTCCCCTACCGGAAGATTTTCTGACGACCGTTTGATTTCAGATTTTATTGGTAGGCAATTGTTCCTAATTCATCTGTTGTCTGTTTAATATTGGATTGACGGAATAGGTTGTTGTTTTCTTATATGAGTTTGAGTTATCCTCACCTCACAGGTTAACTATTTGGATTGAGTTAACTTCAAAATTCTTAACATGATATCAGAGTCAGATTCATCCGTATTCTTATTTAATATTTTCTTATTTTAACCCCCATATTATGTTTCTCCTTTTATTATTGATTTAGTTGCTTGAATATAATTGACCAAAAAAACGGCGTGTCTTTTTCATTTTGTGACAGCTGAACATGCAAATATTCCAGAGCCACCACCCTTTCTGCAGCCTCAGAATGAACAGGATTATAGCAATGGAGCAAACTTTGCATCGGCTGGGGCTGGATCTCTTGTCGAGACTTTCGAGGGAGCAGTACGTTCTTTTAACATATAAAAACTAGTATCTTATTAATTTTATTTTTAAAGATAATTATGTATGATTATCATTTAGATGACTTATATATTATGCCTACTTGTAAAAAATTTACTTTCTCAGAATATAGAAGTGAAGCTCATAATAAGAAAATGCAGGAGGAAGGAAAGAGATGCTAGGTTTCATGACTACGCGAAAGAATTTAGCGAGCTAGCTAGTTAGGTAACATTAAGGTCGTCTAAATGAAATACTTTATCTAACTACAAAAGCAAAAGGCCTTTCAGCTTTAAAAGAAAATAATTAACTTGCCGCTAATTGCATTGAAATATTCTAATTGCGTGTAATCTTGCCTCATATAATTCTAAAAACTTCATGTTTTGTATGTTATTGAATTATGACTAGCCAGCTGCATGCATTCTTGAACGGATAACTGTCAGACTTTAAGCTTGTCCATATACACGATAAGATAATAATGTAGGAGTAAGGAATGAAAAAAAACTGGTCCCCAATATTGAGACTATGGTATATATAATTTTTTATAATTCATTTTTTTACAAGTAGTATAGATAAAAAAACTGTTAGGTACCGGTACTAAGGGTACTATTTCGAGCTACCATTACTCTTACCCTTCACCCCTACCCACCCACCGGACGGTATGGTCCAGTATGCATATCAGTACGGTCTGGTACGAGTGCCGGTATTACCCTACCCTAGACAACCTTACTTTCAGTACATCCACACAACTGAAAAATTGTATAATACTCTGAACCCTACACACCAAGAATGCTTACTGCTACAGTCGTATTTGGTTTTTTGTTGTATGTCGGTATTCTCAGATTCTTCATTCTTCAGGTGATTGATTTGAAGACACAGTTGAACAACTTCAAGAAGCTGAAAACTTCGTTAAGAGCCAAGTTGGGCTACTCAAAATCGGACAAGATATTGAGAAGTGTTGTTTACTTGATTGGCATTGGGACCAAGGACTACTTAAGTCCCTTTTTGACCAATTCCACAGTCCTATCTGTCTATTCTCCTCCCCAATACATACAAATGGTCATTGGCAACTTGACTTCAGTGGTACAAGTAAGTAAATAACTTGCACCCATGGCTTCATTATCTAATAATAGTATATGGATAGTGTAAACATTTTCTTACGTTATCAATATAGTTTAACCTGTAATAACAGGTAAGTAATCATTTTTACGCGATTAGCAATTAACGTTTTGTCATAAACTAATATTCACGCATGAGATCTACAAGAACGGATAGGAATGCGCAAACGATTAGAGGGATTCACCTACTCACTTTATGACTTCAACCGTAGTTTGAAACAGAGGATGAATCATCCCTCCAGATATGGTATGCACCTCTTTTAACTTATTTATGCATTTGGTTAACACAAAAAATGTGTATAAGTCAAATTCACTTGTAAGTTCGTCGTTCCCAACTTATGACACTTTACCTTACAAACACTTTTGATTTGACTGAGGTACTTTCTATGTTATTCCTAAAAATTTTTGTAGTACTAACTATTTAAGGGCATTTCAATCATCTTATAAGTACTTCTGAATTTCATATTCAACACTTTTATCTAAACAATCAACTAATAAAATTAGTTTTATTTTAATCAGTTAAATTATTGATTAAGTTGTTTAATTAAGAACTTATCCAAGACAATTATTAAATTTTAATTCATATTCATGTAGGTTTCAAGGAAGGGAGAAAGGCGTGTTGTGGCACAGGGAGATTTAGAGGAATATATAGCTGTGGAGGAAAGAGGCCAGTGAAACAGTTTGAGGTTTGTAAAAGCCCAAAAAAGCATGTCTTTTGGGACTCCTATCATTTAACTGAAAGTATTTACCACCAAATGGCAGCTGAAATGTGGAATGGAGCCGTGAAAGGACCTTTCAGTCTCAAGACTTTCTTTCAATGCCTCTAACATCATTATATTGTTAAGATGCAACAGAGTACAGGATATAGATTCATTCATTTCTATGACTATGAGTAGAGCTATTAAATTCTTCATTTGCTCCATTCTAGGAAATTTTTGTTCTTGTCATAAGCTGCAATTTCAAGCAAAAAAAGTTGTAAGACAAGTTATTCAGTTATTCCTCCAAGCCACATTGGTTATTTTATTTACATTAGTTTATTTTCCAGGGGCCGATCCATCATTATTGTCTCAGATTTCATTTTAACTTTGTAATTCGACGTAAATGTATAAATTTATTTGTAAAAATTTATTAAAATTGAAACAAATAATAGATATAGACTCATAACTTTACAAGTATACATGAACCTTAAAGTTGAACCTATAGAGTTTGAATCTTGAATCTAGCTCTGACATTTGCTCATGCAGCGAAGTTGGATGTGGAGATTTGTGTAGTATCTTCTTTCCTGCTCACCATCAAAACAAATACAGTAATACAAATTTTGAGAAATAGGAATTGTCAGGGCGGATGCAAATGGGAAGGGTGGGTTCACGTGTGTGGGGCTCATATTAAAGAAAAACAAAGAAGAAAATGGAAGGTGCCCGACTTTGTTGACAACTTTGTTGAAGAAAATGGGAGGTGCCTAACTTTGTTGAAAAATTATAGGACTAAATCAACAACAAGACATCTTCTTTATAATAGTTCAATGGCATCTCTTACTATAAAAAGAGGCCTCCATTATTCATTTCAATAACACCAAAATAAGAGAGAAGCAATAGAAGTTAGAGAGAGTAATCCACAGATTGTAGTCTGTGAGATAAATAGTGAGTGTGAGTAATATTGTAGTGAAGTATTTTAAATAAATTGTGTTATTTCTTTCAAGATTGTAGTAGTCTCTTGACACTACTAAGTTGTAATATTGTAGTGGTTATATTGCTCTGCTCGGGTATTGTATTTTACCCATTAAAAGAATTGATGTCGTTGTTACTCTCTTGTATTATTATTATTTGTCGTGGATATTATTCCTGAGCGGGATTATTATTTTTCCCAACAACGTGGTATTAGAGCCATGGCAAATAATGATACGCTGTCTTTTCAGTACCCCCGTCTCACAAAAGATAATTATGAAAAATGGTGTCTACGTATGAAAGCCATTCTTGGCTTTAAGGATGTGTGGGAAATCGTAGTAGAGGGTATGCAAAACCCGATAATGAGGAAGCTCTGCCTCAAAATGAAAAAGATGTCTTGGCAAAGACAAGAAAGAAGGATCAACAAGCCCTCACGCTCATCCATCAATGTGTGGATGATGCCATATTCGAGAAGGTGGCAGATGCTACCACCTCAAAGGAAGCTTGGGAGATTTTACAAAACTCTCTTCAATGAGTTGACAAGGTAAGGAAGGTAAAACTTCAAACTCTAAGGGCTGATTTTGAAATTTTAAAAATGAAAGAATCCGAATGCATTTCAGATTATTGTTCAAAAGTAAAGGCTATTGTAAATCAATTAAGAAGATATGGAGAGGACATAAAAGATGTGGGTGTGGTAGAAAAGAACCTTCGCACTTTAATACCTAAATTTGATTTTGTGGTGTGTGCTATTGAGGAGTCTAAAGATTTAGAATCTATAATGGTAGAGTAATTGGAGGGTTCTTTACAGGCCCATGAAGAAAAGATCAAGAGGAGACAAGAAGTGCCATTGGAGAAACTTCTTAAAATTCAGGCATCCTTCAAAGATTATGGAGGTGAAAAGAGCTATCGAGGGAATGGACGGGGACGAGGTCGTGGCAGTCATGGAAGAGGAAGAAGCAATGCTAAAAACTTCAACAACGAAGTTAAAATCCATCAGACGTTCAGAGATCGTGGTCGTGGACATAGAGGAGGAAGAGGACGTGGCTACTACCAAGCAAATAATGAACAAAGGTATGACAAATCAAAAATTGAGTGTTATAATTGTCATAAATTTGGCCATTACTCTTGGGAATGTCGTAGCAATGTTGAAAAAAAATCTAACCTTGTTGACGACAAGAAAGAAAAAGTTGAGTCAACGTTGTTGATGGCACTCAAGGAAGAAGACAAGGATGATTGCAGCTCGTGGTATTTGGAAAATGGAGCAAGCAATCATATGTGTGGATGCAAAGAGAAATTTGTGGAGATCAATAAAACGGTGAGAGGTAATGTGTTCTTTGGAGATACCTCAAATATTCAAATTGAAGGGATAGGTACGATTCTGGTATCCTGTAAAGATGGTAGTCACAAGTTAATTCAAGATGTTTATTATGTCCCAAAATTAAAAAGTAATATTTTGAGTTTGGGCCAACTTCTTGAAAAGTAATATGACATCCACATGAAAAATATGCATCTTTGGCTTAGAGATTCAAGTGGAATTCTAATTGCTAAAGTGCATATGGCTAAGAATAGATTATTCTCTCTGAATCTTAAGACAATTGATAAAAAGTGTTTGAAGGCTAATGTGCAAGATGAATCATGGTGTTGACACATGCGATTTGGACACTTAAATTTTGAAGCGCTCAAATCAATGGGAGAAAAGAACATGGTGCATGGAATACCATCAATAAGCCATCCCAATCAATTGTGTGAAGCTTGTCTTCTTGGAAAATATGCAAGGAGGAGTTTTCCAAAGGAGGCCATGTCAAGATCAACCAAACTGCTTCAGCTTGTTCACACTGACATGTGTGGACCAATCAATCCACCTTCCTTTAGTAAAAGTAAATACTTTCTACTTTTCATTGATGACTTTAGTAGAAAGACTTGGGTTTATTTCTTGAACCAAAAATCTGAAACTTTTGCGATTTTTAAAATTTTTAAAGTACTTGTAGAAAAAGAAAATGGCTATGAAATAAAAGCCTTAAGGTCCGATAGAGGAGGCGAATTCACTTCAAAAGAATTTAATGACTTTTGTAAATCTCATGGAATTCGTCGCCCTCTAACGATACCTTATTCACCCCAACAAAATGGAGTAGCAGAGAGAAAGAATCGAACGATTCTTAATATGGCTAGATGTATGTTAAAAGCTAAAAATATGTCCAAGGAATTTTGGGCAGAAGTTGTATCTTGTGCAGTTTATTTGAATAACAGGTCTCCAACAAAGAATATTAGAGATCAAACCCCTCAAGAAGCATGGAGTGGAATAAAGTCAAGTGTCAAGCACTTGAGAATCTTTGGGAGCATAGCCTATGCTCATGTGCCACATCAAGGGAGGGCGAAGCTTGACGATCGAAGTGTCAAGCATGTGTTTGTTGGCTATGATACGAGTTCAAAAGGCTACAAGCTATACAACCCAAATAGCGGCAAGATGGTGGTAAGTCACGATGTTGAATTTGATGAAGAATTAGCATGGAACTGGGAAGCTCAAGAAAAAACTTCATATGATTCTCTTTCATACTTTGGTAATGAAGAAAAACCAGAGACCGTGGAACCTGTGTAGGATACAACTCCACCTCCTTCTCCAATAAATGTTACATCTCCCTCTTCTCAAGAAAGTTCAAATGAACAACCGCAAAGGACAAGGAGTATTCAAGAACTCTATGAGAACACATAGGAAGTTACTAATTTTGATTTTTTATATTTTCTTTGCTGATAGTGAACCAATGAACTTTGATGAAGCTATTGAAGACAAAAGGTGGAGACAAACCATGCAGGAGGAGATCGAGTCAATAGAGAAGAACAACACTTCCCAAGGGTCATCGAGCAATTGGAGTTAAATGGGTATACAAGGCAAAGAAAAATGTTGATGGAGATGTGGAGAGATACAAGGCACGACTTGTAACTAAAGGCTACAAGCAAAGGCAAGGCATTGAATATGAAGAAGTCTATGCACATGTTGCCCGCATGGAGATGATTCGTTTGCTTATCTCTTTGGCGGCGCAAATGAAGTGGAAGATCCATTAACTAGATATCAAGTCGGCTTTTTTGAATGGATATCTTGAAGAAGAAGTCTATGTTGAACAACCATTGGGCTTTGTGGTAAAAAAATCATGAAGATAAAGTGTTGCGGTTGAAAAAAGCTTTATATGGATTAAAGCAAGCCCCGCGAGCATGGAATAGTTGCATCGACAAGTATTTTCAAAATAATGGGTTTACTCGTTGTCTCCATGAATATGCTCTTTACCTTAAAGTTCATACTAATGGAGATATCTTACTTGTTTGTCTTTATGTTGATGATTTTATTTTCACGGGTAATAACCCAAGTTTGTTTGAAGCTTTTAAGAAAGATATGTCTCGTGAGTTCGAGATGAAAGATGTAGGCTCATGTCATACTACTTGGGCCTAGAAGTGAAGTAGATGGAGGATAAAATTTTCATCTCTCAAGAAAGCTATACAAAGGAGATCTTGAAGAAGTTCAACATGCTCGATTGTAACCCCGTGAACACACCGATGGAGAGTGGGACAAAATTATCCAAGTTTGATGAAAGAGAAAATGTGAATCCCACATTTTTCAAAAGTCTTGTAAGAAGTTTGAGGTACTTGACTTGTACCAGGCCAGATATACTCTTTGTAGTTGGAGTAGTAAGCCATTTCATGGAAGCTCCTACCTCCACCCATTTGAAAGTCACTAGATGAATTCTTCGTTACCTAAAAGGTACGATCGACTTTGAGTTATTTTATTCTTCTTCTAATGATTTTAACCTTATGGGATTTTGTGATAGTGATTATGCGGGAGATATTGATGATAGAAAAAGCACAACTGGCTTTAAGTTTTTCTTGGGTGATTCTGTTATTTCTTGGAGTTCAAAGAAACAACCCATAGTTACTCTCTCGACTTGTGAAGCCGAATATATAGCAGCAACATCATGTACCTGTCATGCTATTTGGCTAAGAAGATTATTGAAGGAGCTCAGTTTGCCACAAATTGAAGCTACAGAGATTTGTATTGATAACAAATCTGCACAGGCATTCGACAAGAATCCGGTGTGTCATGATCGAAGCAAGCATATATATACAAGATATCACTTCATCAGAGAGTGCATTGCCAAGAAGGAAGTCAAACTCAAATATGTGAAGTCTCATGATCGGGCTGCAAATATCTTTACAAAACCTCTTAAGTTTGAGAATTTTTAGAGATTGAGATCAAGTCTTAGAATGAAAAAGAAAAATCAAAATTAAGGGAGAGATTTGTGGGGCTCATATTAAAGAAAAATAAAGAAGAAAATGGGAGGTGCCTAACTTTGTTGACAACTTTGTTGAAGAAAATGA